TGTGTGTGTGTGTGTGTGTGTGTAGATGGATTGTGTCATATCATGGCTGATTCTCTCTCTAAAAATCCGGCCACCGGAAAACCGCCGGATACTCTTAATCGTCTATTCTCAGAGGTGGTTTCGGATGATTACAGCGGAAAAAAACTGGAGGGTAAAGCAACTGGTTTCTTTAAAGGCATTCCCTCGGTTAGCTTCACACAGGAAGACATTGCGGAGCTCTCCTCCCGTTTTAAGCTCGCACTGGTGGCAAAGTTTCTGAGGCGTCCCTCTTTCACTTCCATGACCAAATTTCTGCAGAAGTTGGGTCTCAGAGGTAGCTTTGATCTCACAGTTCTCTCACCCCACAGATTTCTGATCAATTTACAGGAAGAGGAGGATTATCTTCGTCTATTTCTTCGAAGGTCATGGCTGGTTTTTGGTTACACTATGACCCTGTCTAAATGGAGTCCCTCTCTGTCCCATGAAATGGAAAATCCAGTCATGCCTATCTGGATTGCTTTTCCAAATCTCCCCATCCATCTTCATGATAAGAGAGCTCTCCATCTTATCTCCTCTTCCATAGGCACCCCTCTGAAAGTTGATTCCAACACTCTAAATTTCTCTCGGCCGGGCTTGGCAAGATGTTGTGTGGAGGTGGATATCTCTAACCTCCCTCCGGCGAAGGTCCTCATTAATCATGGGGGAGAGGAGCTTATTTTCCCTTTCTACTTCGAAAATGTTCCCCTTTTCTGTAAGACGTGCAAAAAAACAGGTCACACTCTTGAGACCTGCGCTCATCAGAAAATTCCACCGGAGAAGGATAATCATAAGAGCGAGGCATTTTCAGAGAAGGGTGCTAGGGACAACCAGGTACAGGCCAAAGAGGATAAAATTGCTGAACAATGGCAACAGGTTGTTTCCAAAAAGGGTAAGGACAAATTGCCAGTTAATGGGGCAGGGAAGTTAGAATGGCGGGCCAAACCTGCACCAATTATTCCTACTTGGAAAGAAGGGCGAGGTGAGTCCTCCAATAGCCAAGCAAAGCCTCCTGTTTCCCCTGGGACTCCCCAGGCCACCATTATTTTTCCTTATGCAACTACAAATACAAATAAAGCAGACCATAAGAAGGCTGGGACCTACTCCATTTCAGACCCCTCTATCCTCTCAGCCTTCACTTTACGTCATCTTGATGAAAACGTGGTTAGGGCTCCCATTCTGTATGAAGTCCCAGATATAATTGACAATAGCCTAGCCATAGTCCCCTTTGAAGGATTTGCTCTTCCAGAGGATGATGTACCAGACGTTGGTTTCTTCAAGGAGCCAGAAGTTATTGACGATCAACTAAAACAACTGGATTCCCTCCTCTCCAGGGAGGACTTCCCTCCTTTAAAGGATTCTATCTCCCAGAGCCCCAAGGATTTCAGCTCTCGAACTAAGGTGAGGAGTCACCCTATGGTCACTAGACATATTACTTCAAATAGATTCTCCCCATTGATTTCCCCATGATTGGTCTTTTTTGGAATCTTAGAGGCATCCTCATCTCTCTCCCTCGTCTCTTACATCTTCTCAAACATCACAACTTCCATTTTCTCTCCCTTATTGAACCCATGGTTGATCCTGAGAAACTTGATTGGTACAAACTCAAGCTTGGTTTTTCTAAGGGTTTTTCTACCCTTAATAATAAACTCTGGTTCTTATGGAATGACCACCTTCTCAACCTTCAGGCAGTGATTGAGGATGAACAGATCCTCTCTTGCTGCTTTAATCATCTTGGCTCCTCCTCTTCACTCTGGATCTCTAGTGTTTATGGTAGGCACACCAGGGCTGATAGAGTTGGGCTTTGGAACTCTATGGGAAACCTCCATCCTATTCAGGGCCCTTGGATCATCGGTGGGGACTTTAACACTGTGGCCTCCATTACTGAACACAAAGGGGCAGTCTGCCCTGACCTTGGTAGTAAGGATGATTTCAATAAGGCCATTGCTGATTGTGACCTTATCTCCCCTTCCTTTTTTGGTAGCCAATTCACTTGGTTTGGTAATAGGGGGAGAGGGAGAGTGTGTAGAAGACTTGAAAGAATCCTTATCAATGAGGTTTGTTTGGATCTGTTTCATACTATTGAAGTTAAACACCTGGGAAGGGGGAACTCTGACCACAGGCCATTATTTTTAAATTGTCTTCTTAGCTCAAGGACTGGCCCAAAGCCTTTCAAATTCCTGAATGTCTGGAGCTCCCATCCTACTTTTAGAAACCTTCTTATTTCCTCTTGGGACAAAACCTATCATGGTGGGGGTATGAGATGGTTAGTTTGCAAGCTTTCAAACTTCAAAGCCACCCTTCTCACTTGGAATAAAGAAACATTTGGGAACCTCTTCCAGGATGTTAAAGATGCTGAAAAACGGGCAGAACAAGCAGAAGAAAAACTTGAACAAGAGGACTCACAAATAAACCTACTGGAATTCAAACTTGCCACAGCCCTCCTCCAACAAGCCCTAAAAAAAGAGGAGAGTTTTTGGGCTCAAAAGGCAAATATAAGGTGGATCTCACAAGGGGATGCCTCTACAGCTTTCTTTCACTCTTTTGTTAAAGGAAGGAGGCATAGATTGTGTATCTCCTCTCTTAAAGATGATAATGGGAAATTGCACAATACATTGGAGGGGATCTCTAAAGTGGCAGTGGACCACTACTCAAGGGTTTTCTCCACTGTTCATGAGGGGGATATGGGACAAATCCTGGATCACATCCCTAACTGTGCATCTCCCCAGGACAACAGTTTGCTCAGGTCAATCCCAGATGAGGAGGAAATCAGGAGAACAATTTGGTCCTTAAATGCCAATAGCACTGCTGGTCCAGATGGTTTTAATGGTTTTTTCTTTAGGGATTCCTGGGATATTATCAAAATTGATGTTTGTAGGGCAGTTCAGGAATTCTTTGTGGGCATCCCGATGCCAAAAGCTTTTGGTAGCACTCTTATTACCCTGATCCCTAAGCAGGAAGGCTCCATTACCTTGGACCAGTTTTGTCGCATCTCCTTGTCAACCTTCTTTAGCAAAATCATTTCCAGGCTGTTAAGTGAGAGGCTCAAAATAATCATTCCTAAACTAATCTCCCAGGAACAAGCAGCATTCCAGGTTGGTAAAAACATTACTGAACATGTTCTCATGGTAAAAGAAATGGTCCACATTCTCTCAGCTAAAGGGAGAGGGGGAAACTGCATCATTAAGCTGGATTTATCAAAGGCTTTTGACAAACTCTCCTGGACTTATTTGGATGCCGTGCTAACCAAATTTGGTTTTAGCCCACCTGTTGTTCATCTTTTAATGGGTAACCTTAGGGAAACTCACTTCTCTGTATTGGTAAATGGCCAGCCACATGGTTTTTTCCCCATGAAATGTGGAGTTAAGCAGGGAGACCCCCTCTCCCCTCTTCTCTTCATCATTGCCTTGGAAGGTCTGTCCAGGTTCTTAAATCATCATTTCTCCCGCGGATATATTTCACAATTCTCAGCTGGAAGAAACCCCACACCATGCCATCTTCTTTGTGCTGATGACATTATCCTTTTCACCAAAGCAGACAGCAGGAATCTATTGAGACTTAGGGAACTTCTCTCCCTTTTCATGAAGGCATCAGGACAGGAAATAAATTACTCCAAAAGCCAAGTTATAGTCCATGAAAGAATGAAGGCTGAGCAGCAAAACCAGATCAGAAAAATCCTATCCATCAGGTGTCACACAAAGGAATTTACCTACCTTGGTTCTAATATTTGTACATGGGTTTATATATACAACCTTTTCCTAATCCTAATCATGGTAGGATTCTACAATAGGAAACAATATTTGTACAATTAATATAGAATATATATTTAACATAAATATAGAATATATTTAACATGCTCCCGGCTACGTCGGCGTCAGAGGTGGGCGAATCTCAAGGCTAGTCCGAAAATCTTGAAATAATATGGACGGGAGGCCTTTTGTGAATATGTCGGCGTACTGTGACGAGGATGGCACATGAAGAACTCTAATCTGGCCGAGGGCCACCTTGTCACGAACAAAGTTAATGTCAACTTCAATATGCTTGGTGCGCTGATGCTGAATCGGATTAGTGGAGAGGTAAACGGCATTGACGTTGTCGCAGAAGATGAGTGTGGCGCGGCGTAGGGGCTATTGTACCTCTAGGAGGAGATTTCGAATCCAGCTGGTTTCGGCAACGGCATTCGCAACGGCTCGGTATTCAGCTTCAGCACTAGATCGGGAGATGGTAGCCTGGCGTTTGGAGGACCAAGAGATGAGGTTGTCCCCAAGGAATACACAGTAGCCTGATGTGGATTGCCTAGTATCAGGGAACCCAGCCCAATCAGCATCAGAATAGGCCTGGAGAGAATCTATGCCAGAGGGAAGCAGAGTCATACCGTAAATGGTGGTGCCACGGAGATAGCGTAGGACACGCTTCATGGCCGTGACGTGGGCATCCCGGGGGGCGTGTAGATGGAGACAAAGCTGCTGAACTGAGTAGGAGATGTCTGGCCTGGTGAATGTGAGATACTGGAGTGCTCCAACTATGGAGCGATATAGAGCTGGGTCGGTCGCCAGCGAGCCTGATGTGCCGGATAGTTTGGCCTTCGTATCGACTGGAGTGGAGATGGGACGACAAGTAGTCATGCCGGCACGCTCTAGGATGTCGTGCGTGAACTGTGTCTGGTGTAAAAAGAGACCACGAGCTATCCGATGAACATTGATGCCCAAGAAAAAATGAAGGTCGCCCATGTCAGTCATAGCAAATTCCCCCTTAAGTCGCTCAGTCAGGCGCTTAAGGAGAGAGTCAGTGGAAGCTGTGAGGACGATGTCATCAACATAAAGGAGTAGGTAGGCAGTGTCTGTCCCGTGAGAGTAGATGAAGAGAGAGGTGTCCGACTTACATCCTCGAAAACCCAGCGTGTAGATAAACCCAGCAAATTGTTGGTACCACGAACGAGGAGCCTGTTTGAAGCCATAGAGTGCCTTCTTCAGCCTGCATACATAGTTGGGCCTGTGGGGATCCTGGAATCCTGATGGCTGAGAGGCGTAGACTACTTCCTGCAGATGGCCATGGAGAAAGGCATTTTTGACGTCCAACTGATGGATCGGCCATCCTCGAGAGAGAGCAAGGCTGAGAATGATGTGTATAGTAGCTGGCTTGATCACAGGGCTAAATGTCTCATCATAGTCAACTCTGAATCTCTATTGAAGCGACGAACAACCCATCGAGCTTTGTACCTGGTTAACTCACCTGTAGGGCCAAGTTTGTGCCTAAAAAGCCATTTTCCGGTTATGATATTTTGGTGGGGGAACGGGGTACTAATTCCCATGTATCGTTCTTAATCAATGCATTAAATTCTTCACACATAGCATTGTGCCAACTGGGATCTTTGAGAGCACTACGGTAGGTGAGAGGCAGGGGGGAAATGGGTACAGTGGTGTTGAGATTGAAAATACGTTTGGGACAGGTTATGCTAGTTTTGGAACGCGTGACCATGGGATGTTGGTTTGTGGTGATAGGGGGAGGTGGGGGAGGGTTGGGACTGGTTGGGCCTTGAGAATTGGGCTCAGGGGGGCTGGGCTGGCTTTGCCGTGGGCTGGGGCTGGGCGACGCGGCTGTGTCGCTGGGCTGGTGGGGAAAGATGTTGGGTGGGCTGGATGTGGGTTGGGGCTGGGCCGAGGGGAAGAGGGGGGGCTGTGTTGGNNGTGGGTGGGGTGTGGGGAGGGGGTTGGTGGGTGGGGTGGGGTGGGGCATCCTCCGTGGTGTCAAGGAAGTTAAAATCGTCGGCGGAAGGGTGATGTTTGTAAGGAAAAATATTTTCATCAAAAGTAACATGACGCGAGACGATTATTTTGTTAGTGTTGAGATCTAAGCAGCGGTAACCACGTTGATGGGAGGGGTAGCCAAGAAAAATGCACCGTGCCGAGCGTGGGGCAAGTTTATGTGGGGCGGTGGCGGAGGTGTTTGGATAGCATAAACAACCGAAAACTCGGAGTTGGGTGTAGGCGGGTGGGGTGCGGAAGAGAGTGGTGTGGGGAATTTGGTTATTGAGGGTAGTGGTCAAGAGGAGATTGAATAGGTGAGCGGTCATATGGAGTGCTTCAACCCAAAATTCTGGGGGAAGGTGGGCTTGGAAAAGAAGTGTTCGGATAGTGTTGTTTATGGTGCGGATGGTCCGCTCGGCACGGCCATTTTGTTGGCTTGTGTGTGGGCACGAGAAATGAAAAAGAATGCCTAAGGAGTTAAAAATAGAACGGAGAGGGGAGTTACGATATTCAGTGCCATTGTCACATTGAACATTTTTAATGGTTGTGTTAAAATGATTTTTGACATAGTTAATAAAAGTAGTGAGGTGAGTAAAAACATCAGGTTTTTGTTTTAAAGGAAACACCCAAAGATAATGTGAAAAGTCATCTAGTAATAACACGTAGTGTTTGAAACCAGTAATACTGGGGACAGGGGATTGCCATAAATCAGTATGTAATAATTCAAAAGGGAAAGAGGAAATACGACATGAAGGAGAAAATGGGAGACGAACATGTTTTCCCAATTGACAAGCATGACATAAATTATTACTAGGAAAAAATTTAAAAAGACTGGAGACACTGGAGACACCACGAAGAACCGCCGGGCTGGGGTGTCCAAGACGCCGATGCCATGTGTGGATGTCAACGGACGCACTGTGGACCTGAGCTGGGGGCGCAGGGAGCAAGGCGTAGAGTGGGCCGGAGTTATTGGACCGATGCATCACGGTTCCCGTCCAAAGATCCTTCACAGAAAAACCACGTGCATCAAATTCAATGGAGCAGTTATTATCATGCGTAAAACTGGCGAACAGAAATAAGGTTATGGATGATATGCAGGGAGAGAAGGACGTTATTAAGGGAGAGGGGAGGGTTGGTGGGGAGGGTGTGGGGCTGGGTAGGTTGTTTGGCCGTAGGGGTGGAGTGGGGGGTTAGGGTTAGGGTTGTAGGTGTAGTAGGCATGGGCATTTGGATGGGTAGGGTTGGGTGGGCGCGGGCCGAGGAGACCCGAGCCAGGGTTGGGTTGCGGTGAGTTGTTCTAAGGTAGGTAGCCGTCCTGCGGGTGCCGTTGCGAGCCAGAGTTTCTTCCTCGTCCACGTCCACGGCCGCCTCCACCACGACCGTAGTTGCGCCCCTGCGGTCCGCGGCCACCACTGCCGCCGCTGTGCCCGCTGCCAGGCGCTCCACTGCCACGCCCGAAGCCGCCGCTGCCTGTGCCGTAGGGAGGGCCGCCGGTTCTGCCGGCCAGGAGGGTTGTCCCGGCGTCGTCCGCGATGCTTTGCCGTTGCCGATCTAGGAGCAGGAGGGCTGATCGGGTCTGAAGAAAGTTGGGCAGCGATTGTTGGAATTGTAGGAATGACGTCTGCGCCTGGAGATCTTCGGGTAGCCCCCGAAGCATTTGGAGCACGAGTTGAGACTCAGAGACCGGGGCATCGACATCATCCAACCAATCGGAAATGTTCCGCAGGGTTTGACAGTACATGGCCATAGTCATCGTACCCTTGACGGTGGTTCGGAACTGGTGCTCGAGTTGCATTGCCCGAGTATGCTTGTTGTCATGAAAAAGTGCATGAATAACCTGCCATCATTCAGCTGCGGTGGAGGTGGTGGAGATGACCAGATCTGAGACTTCGTCAGAAATAGTAAAGAGAATCCACCCTTGGATCAGGGCGTCAAGCTGGTACCATTCATCATCATCGGCAGAGGAGGGAGATGAAGAACCCGAGAGAAAGCCGTGGAGAGTGAATCGGCGTACCAGGAGAAGAAAAAGCCGGCTCCACTTTTTGTAATTGGGCTGAGAGAAGCTCAGCTGAATCGGGACATGAAGCTTGATGTTGGAGATTGTGGTGAAAGCGAGATGAGGGGGATTGGAGGAGGAGGAGGAGATTGAATTTTCTGTATTTTTTTCGGAGGAAGCCATATGGAGGGAGGAGGGGGGGTTTTGCCGACGTGGGGCTGTGCCGTCGCCGAGGACAGTCCGCCGAGAGAGAGAGGAGGGCGGCGGCGGCTGTGCGGCTGGAGGAGGGCACACCGAGAGAGAGAGGGAAAGGAGGTGGGGTTAGGGTTTTTGGTTTGAGAACTATGGCTCCGATACCATGAAGAATTATGATTTTCCTTAAACAATAAAGTGGGAGTACATGGGTTTATATATACAACCTTTTCCTAATCTTAATCATGGTAGGATTCTACAATAGGAAACAATATTTGTACAATTAATATAGAATATATATTTAACATAAATATAGAATATATTTAACACTACAAGTACATCCAAGATCAAGACAATCCATGATAACAAAGATAATAGGCCAAAATAGTTGGACTAAATACAAGGAATATCCTTTCCTCCAGTATAACCCTTTGTGTAATCTGACTCCCAAAGCTAGTAGCCATAGAAATACTGCCCCACGTCATTCTTGAGTAGAATATAATGTAATGATTCATTGTTGTTATTGAAAACTCAGTAAGACTGCAATGTATACAAACCATAAAACTCCTATCAGTTAGTTATGGGATTGATTGACCTAAACTTAAATAGACATAGTAATAGCTCAAAATCCATGGACAGAACTAGTGAAAATAAGGATAACAAGCCTACAAAAGCACAAAAAATACATCTTTTTCGTATTCCTCAGCATACCGCTTAGGTCTCTTGAAAATAATCTTCCGCTACGAGGCATTTTTCTTCATGATAACATCAATCTCTTGTTTCTTCGCCAGTGCCCACTACTGTTCCCTCTTTTGCATCTTCATTACTGGCTCGGTGACAGATGGGGCTCAATTCTGTTCTTCAGCCATCTCTGGAGAAAACAAATCATATATAAGCTTGCATCTTCATAACAGATAATTCAAACTCTTAAAGGAAATATTAACTAACTGAAAATGATAGCATTTGTCAATCAAGAAAAGAAAAAACAAAATGATATGATGTAAGTCGACACGACAAAAACCGGCATGACTTGGAAAATTTTATAGTACTAACAAAAATACTACTCCCTCCGTCCCCAAATAAACTTCTCTTTTTGACTTTTTAAGGATTTAAGGGAGGGATATTTTTGTGTTGACTTTCCAAAAATACCCTTGATGTGATGTATAAAAGTAAGATATGATACGTACATTATTAGTAAAAAATATGATGTGATAGGTAGGGTATAAAAAAGTAAAGGGTAAAAGAGGTTTTTAAGAGAAAAGAGAAGTTTATTTAGGGACAAAGAAAAAACGAAAGAGGAAGTTTATTTGGCGAGGGGGTAAATATTATGTAGACTTTAAAACAAACTGCACCTCCACCGCGTCAGAATTTATACATGCTAAAAATTAGAAAATAAAGAGTTATTTAATAAAAAGCTACTCTGTAGAAATAAATTTGTTGAGCACTTAAGGCCGAGCACAACAACAATTGACGAACATGGGAACAAATAGTGGAAAACATAATTCCTTTAATAAGGGTATAAACTCCACAGTTTGTGCTAGAAAAGATTTTTTGTATTGTTCTTTCACTACCTTTTCGGTATGAAAAAAATGAGCAAAGCCAAAACAAAAATTTCTAATTGCACTAACCCAATGGCACACAAGAAATTAGACATCAAATGAGGGTCATGCTCAACTAAAAACTAAAAAGAGGCTTCTATTTTCCATGTCTTGTAGGGAAAAAATTTAAAATCTCCATTAAAAAACTAATTGTTATCTAACTTGCTAGTTGAACATTTAAAATTAATGACCAATCATCTTCATATCTGTCCTACTAAAGTGTTGTCTAGTATTACAAGCTGTCACATCCCTAGAAGTAACTAAAAACTAGAAACAAATAATTAACAAATCATAGTATTTTACCTGAAAAACAACCGATGCATATGGAACCAAAATCTTTCACAAGATTATCTTGACCCATATTTCCAATTTTAGCATCAACGTGCGCAAATGCAGTTAAAGGACTAACAATTGTCAGGCACTAACAATAGGGTCAGTACCTGACACAACTATAATGAGTTTTATTTGCACCAAATTCTCAAACACAAATTTTGATTAATTCAATTTAAAGCTAACAAATAGAGATTTACAAACAACTAGAGCTACCTACAAAGTAAACAAAAGAAAGGTCCAAAGAAAGCAAGGTTTGGCTAATGAATGTTTGGAGTCCTTTACAATTTCAATTATCGGAAGTGAAAAACTATTATGTTCTGGCCTAATATGAAGCAAAATTGTGTATCTTTTGAGAGATCCTAAATTGGACCACCCTCTAAATTTCTTTTCTTGAGGTAATCAGCAAAACATTTACGTATTAATGATGCAGTTACAAGCCTCACCCCGAAACCATCTTCCAAGTCATAAGAAAACTGATCCTTTAAACCTAAAGCCATACAATGTCACAACATAAGTAAAACCAGTAATTACATGATGATACTATCAACATTATTATAGAATTAAATCTCTATGCTATTGTCATCAAAGTATTTCCCCAAAGATGTGGCCTTCCAACTTAAATATAAGAGCCTAAAAATGCAAGGGTGAATTATAACAGTGAGGTTTTTTGGTGAAGTAATAGTGCTAATAAGGTCTTAAAACTGTGTGATTCGGTAACATATCCAGATTAATAAGTAAGAATAGTGGGGGACTCCATTACAAACCGAAGAGTCAATGAGAACGCAATATCCGAATCTCTTCAATCAATGACTCAGGTAATTTCGAGGACGAAATTATTTTAAGGGGGAAAGAAATGTAACGCCCTGAAAATAGGCCTATCAGAATTAATTAACTGATAATTAATTAATTACTGAGAAAGACCCAAAAATAAGTAAATTATAAAGTTTGTCTATAATTCATAAAAATTACTCCCTCCGTCCCCCATAGATCTTCCCAATAGCCCTTTTTCTTTGTCCACAATAGATCTTCTCATTTCATTTTTTAACAATTAAAATACCACAACTACCCCCACTTACTTTATTTATTACACCTCACCCACCTCATTTAATACACTCCACCCATTTTCATTAAGGGTATTATGGTAAACTTTCACCTTTTTTCAACTCTCCTTAAAAACCACCAAAAGTCAAAATGAGAACATCTTAGGGGGACGGAGGGAGTATATCGTTGTGTAGAGTTTGACTGCCTGACTACAACGGTTTAATCGAATTTCAATTTGGAGAAAGTTGGACCAAAAAGTAGACCTGGCAATACAGAACCAGAACCGATTACCAGAACCGAAATATCCGAAACCGAAACGGGAATGACCCGAAAAATGAAGATCCGATCTATAACCGAAAACCTGAAATGATTCGAATCGAACCGAAACCGAACTAAATAATTCATATCCGATTTAAATCCGAAACCGATTAGATCCGAAACCGATAATATCCGAACCGATTAAACCCGAAATCGATTAGAACCGAACCCGATAATACCCGAAACCGATAAAATCCGAAACCGATTAGATCTGAAACCTATAATATCTGAACCCGATTAAAACTAAAATCGATAAATTCGATCAGAACTATGTTTGCCTTTCAATAA